GACTCAGTCAACAATCAGCTCCAGGAAGATCAAAAAAGGTCTAAAGTTACCTGTGAGTACTGTTACAATTAGAAGACGCCTATGTGAAGCCAAGCTATCTGCAAGAAGCCCCCGCAAAGTCCCACTGTGAAAAAAAGACATGTGCTGAAGAGGTTACAATTTGCCAAAGAGCACATTGACTGGCCTAAAGAGAAATGGCGCAACATTTTGTGGACTGATGAAAGTAAGATTGTTCTTTTTGGGTCTAGTGGCCGGAGACAGTTTGTCAGACGACCCCCAAACACTGATTTCAAGCCACAGTACACTGTGAAGACAGTGAAGCATGGTTGCGCAAGCATCATGATATGGGGATGTTTCTCATACTACGGTGTTGGGCCTATTTATCGCATACCAGGGATCCTGGATCAGTTTGAATACATCAGAATACTTGAAGAGGTCATGCTGCCTTATGCTGAAGAGGACATGCCCTTGAAATGGGTGTTCCAACAAGACAACGACCCCAAACACACCAGTAAACGCGCAAGATCTTGGTTCCAGACCAACAAGATTGACGTTATGGAGTGGTCAGCCCAATCCCCGGATCTTAATCCAATAGAAAACTTGTGGGGTGACATCAAAAATGCAGTTTCTGAGGCAAAACCAAGAAATAGAGAAGAACTGTGGAATGTTGTCCAATCATCCTGGGCTGGAATACCTGTTCACAGGTGCCAGAAGTTGGTTGACTCCATGCAACACAGATGTACAGCAGTTCTCAGAAACAGTGCTTATACAACTAAATATTAATTAAGTGATTCAAAGCAAAATCTTCAAACATTTTTCAGTTTTTATATAGTGAATGTTTGAGTTTGAAAAGAAGAATACAAACACCTGCTATTTTTTTGAACAGTCTAATATTCACTTTTCTTTAATTTTTTTTAGAGGAACAACACAAATGTGATATATTTTTCTTCATGTTTTGATTTGGAATAGAATGTGTAGTGTTCCCAATGCATTTGTGTGTATGGAAATAAAAGCTATTAGAAGGATTTTGAGCTTTATTCACTTTTCTCAACACACTGCTATTATTTTGAACACAACTGTATAAAGCTTGCCTGAGAGTTCAGAAAAAAGGGGGTGGAGAACTGAAGTCACGCCCTGCAGAGCTCAGTGAGGAGATCTTTGAGAGCTGATTGGAGGGATGAGACACATCCCCCTTCACACAGCTCACAGGAACAGAGCTGAATCTGTCAATCTGCTGGAGGTCCCACCCCTGTCACCATTTTTCTTTTGGTGTCAGGAAAACTTTCCAGAATTGAGTCATGCTGATAGCAGAGGGACAAAGTAGCAGACAGAAATTACACTTGATAATTGAGACAAGTACACACTATAGAGGGATATGCTTTGTTCATATTTCATGTCTGGGGTTTTCAACTACTTTAACTCTGAAGATGTAGAAGAAAAGGACATACAGTTGCAAGAAAAAGTATGTGAACCCCTTGGGATTACGTGGATTTGTGCATGAATTGGGCATAAAATGTGCTCTGAACGTCATCTAAGTCACAACAATAGAAGAACACAGTCTGCTGAACATAATACTACACAAACATTAGATGTTGCCATGGTTTAATTGCACATAACATGTAAACATTCACAGTGCAGGGAGGAAAAAGTATGTGAACCTTTGGACTTAATAACTGGTTGACCCTCCTTTGGCAGCAATAACCTCAACCAAATGTTTCCTGTAGTTGCAGATCAGACCTGCACAACAATCTGGAGTAATTCTGGACCACCCTCCTCTTCACAAAACTGTTTTTCAGTGTAGCAATATTCTTGGGATGTCTGGTGTGAATCGCTCTCTTAAGGTCATGCCACAGCATTTCAATCGGGTTGAGGTCAGGACTCTGACTGGGCCACTCCAGAAGGCGTATTCTGTGCTGTTGCAGCCATTGTTTTGTTGAATTACTTGTATGCTTTGGGTCATTACGTTTAGTATTTTTAACATTGTGATGTTTATCTCCTCCTCACCTCCCTGTGTGTCTCCAACACTGCACCAAGGGACTAGCAGGGAGGAGAGAGACCTTGCAGTGTAATGAGCACCGATTGGCTGCTTGTCAGGAAAGGGAGTGTCGAGCTTTATCCTTTATCCCTTTCGTTGCCAGAGCCATTGTTGCGTTTTTTGCACGTTTAAAAAAATCATTTAAGGCCTAAAGATTACACAAAACCTCATAACATTATATATTTTCAGAAATCAGAGACCCTAGAGAATAAAATAGCGGTAATTCCAATTTTATATGTCACATGATATTATCACAAAGGTCTAGGAAACACAAAATTTCAGGAACAAATAAACTAAAGTTAATTTTAGGGCAAAAAAGCAATACATTATCCAAGTTTTTTGTAAAATATAAAAGATGAGGTTGCATCGAGTAAATAGTTATCCATCATATCAAACCTTAAATTTGTGCACACTTCTGAAATGGAAGCAAGCTTTAGTACCCTATATTTTCTATAGGTGACACTTTTAAAGCCTCTTATAGGTCGTCAGTTTAGCGTTACAGAGGAGGTCTGGTGCTAGAATTATTGTATGTAACGTATATCACCGCTTGCTTTTACAGTTGTACATGCCTACATATGTGGGGTGGGGGGTCTTGAATGTGTGGGGGGGGGGGTATATGCTTGGGTGTAACTTACATTTTTAAACAATAAAAAAAATAATTTTTTATTTACTTAATTTTTTTTTTACCACATAGGGGACAAAAAGTCCCCTATAGGATGACATTTTGGTGACAGGTTCTTTTTTTTGAGACATCCAGTGTCTAAAAGACACTACATGTCTCCCCTGTGTTCCTCTGAATGTAATGCAGTGCATTAGCCAGGAATCTGTCAATGGGGACCAGGAGGTGATGTCACATCATTTCCGGGTCAGGACAAGAAGGGGAGTGGATGTGTCTGCTCTCCTCCCTCCTCTATACTGCATCCCGACATTCCGCAGGCACCCATTGACTGGTCCCGGACCCACAGATGGCAAGCAGAGCCCAGGACATATAGCGGGCAGGGAGGTGGTGGCTGGCACTTTGGGCCATGTGAAAGCAATCGGGTGGCAGTGCCCTAATCTTTTTACCTGACAGATGAGCCAAAAAGGCAAAAAAAAAACCTACTTGCCCGGAACTACATGTCACGGGCGTCGGGCGATATGAATTGCACATCCCTGACCTTTCTTGCCCCACTGATCTCTGAATCCACATCTGGATTTCCTTGTTTGGCCTCATGCACACTGGATATATTTCGATCTCTCCTAGACACTTTTTTGTCATAGCAGCAGTACTTTGGCAGAAACACATGCTAGGCGCATTTAGGTTCATCAAGCGCTTGGGCGTCAATTCATTTGATTGGCCAGAATATCAAAGTCAAGTGCTCAGTCACACCATCTGTGTTGATATTTAACCACTTCCAGACCGGACACTTTTACCCCCTTCCTGACCAGGGCAATTTTCAGCTTTTAGCGTAATCACACTTTGAATGACAATTGCGCGGTCATGCAACACTGTACCCAAATGAATTTTTTACCATTTTTTTTAGATAGATAAAGCTTTATTTTGGTGGTATTTATTCACCACTGGGATTTGTATTTTTTTTGCTATGTAAATGAAATGTCCAAAAAAATTTTAAAAAAGTGTTTTTTTTTATAAAATTTTGCAAATAAAATAAATATTTCATCATAAATCTTAGCCAAAATTTATTCCGTTATCTTTTTAGTAAAAAAAAAAAATCCAAATTAGTTTATAAGCAAAAATTATAATTTTTAAACATTTTTTTTTACATTTTTATTTTTTTTATTATTATTTATTTTTTTTTTTTTTTTTACATACTATCACCCTAGCAGTACAGTGTCACCATGGTGACACTGTACTACTTGTGAGGGGTGATAAAGATTTTTTTTTTTTTTTTTTACACTGATTGCTTTTACACCCATATAGGATGTAAAAGCAATCATTTCTCTTTCTCTCTGTGTGCATTCCTGCACTCATTGAGAAGTACTGAGTGAGCTGTGATTGGTCACAGCTTGTCACATGGTACAAGGCTTTTGTGAATAGCCTTGTACCATGTGACCTCTGTGATCATTCACAAATTTCACACATAGTAAGCAATGATGTCAGAAGTGACATCTTGCTTACTACTTTTGCATGTGATCACTGATTGGCCAATCAGTGATCACATGATCGGGACCTCGTACAGAGGTCCCGTCCGACGATCGGTGTTTCACTGTGTCCGGAGGACACAGCGGGCACTGGATCGCGGTGCTGCGCGCTCCCAGGGAGCGCGCACAAGCAGGGTGCGGGGAGTCCGTTTATAGACGGCCACCCGACCCTGCAGTGCCACCGTCCGGCTGTTTTATATACAACGGCCGGTCGGGAAGTGGTTAAAAGAAATAGATAAAAAGGTAAACAGGACTCATCGCCTTCCCTTCCCCCCTCCCTTTCTTCCCTTGCCCCCTCCCCCTTTCTTCAACTTTCCCTCCCCCCTTTTTTTCTCTCCTCCCCTACTCAGGATCATTTAGTACTGCTTCTTTGAGTGAACATTCAGTGTGTTAGACTCTATTGCCAGTTTTATATGGATATTTTCGCAGTGTGTTGTATGTTGAATACATGCTCCTATATTACAAGATGTAAGTTTGTCTTACCATGCTGTACTGTATACCCTTTTGATTGGTCAACAAAAATAAAGAATTTATAAAAAGTTAAACAGTGCAATGTTGGTGCAACAAATCATTGCACCGCTCCTTAACGCCCCTATACAACAGAGTCCAGCCGCAATGTTTTAGCGTGCAAGCTGGTGTGAATTAGTGAAAAATCCCATCCCTCATTTAGAAAAAACACAGTGGTCTTTTTATGTGATTATCAGTGCATGTCATTTATTGCTTGGTAATGTGTAATCCAACTCCTATTTTTTTTTTTCTCTAGGACATTAATGAGTGCATTCTAGGAAACTATGCAGAGTGTTCCAATCCCAGACTATTTTACATTATTCCATATTTTTGTGGACAACATCCAAAATGCAGGTAAATAGTAATGTGCTTATTTTTATACTATAGTTATAGGAAATACACATTGGCCAGATGTGTACAAGTATTGTGTCTCACATTCTGTACTATCACTATATACTCCCAACTTTAACAAATGGATGTTTCAGAAGTGTCCTATGATATAAATCTGTTCTTCCCTACACTGCTCCATTATAGAAAGTGATAAAAATATTTTACTCTATTGCTGGAAGACCTCTTTTTTTTCTTTATCCACTTGCCGACCAACCACAATACATATACTGTGGTAGGTCGGCACCTGCAGGCAGAATCACATACATGTACATAATTTTGCCTGCTCAGGCTAAGAGCGGCTCTGGGCGCCCACTGGGGCACACAGCATGCCCCTCCTGTGTCCGGTGGATTGGGAGGCCCAGTGATCATGTGATCGCTATGTGATCACATGATCACAATGTCAACAAAGTTTTTTTATGAATGAATAAATTCATTCATAACAGCTGTTTTGACTATGTTGTGATTGGCCCACAGCTATCACATGGTACTTGGGCCAACCACAGCACCCTGTCCCATGGGATTAGCTGCAAGCCAATCACAGATCACTAGTGATCACAGCTGTCATAAATGGTTAACCCATTCAAGACCGTTGAAAAAAAAAAAATCCCTGATCACCCCCCCCCCCCCTTAAAAGAGTAGTACAGTGTTACTATGGTGACACTGAACTACTCTGATGAAAGTGTGTAAAAACATGATCAAAGATGAAAAAAAAATTAAATAAAAAAAAAATTTTGTTTTTCTAAATACTGTCATCAGTAAGTGTCCCTGATCACTGCCACATCAGTCATATAATGACGCTGAACTGCACTGGCGATAGTATGTAAAAAAATAAAAATAGTGGAAAATATTGTATTCATTTTCAAAAAAAATTGTGACAAAAAATGTGACAACTTCAAAAAAACTCACCATGCCTCTTATTAAATGCCTCAGACTGTCTACTTTCCAAAAAGGGGTAATTTGGGGGGAATTTGTACTGTCCTGGCGTTTTAGTTTTACGGTCTTGAGAAATGTCATAGTCTGTCAGTACATCAGGAACAAATATATATACCATAGTTTGTAGATGCTATAACTTCCACACAAACAAATTACCGTAATATACACTTATTGTGATTTCTTTTTTACCAAAGGCATGTAGAGCAGAATACATTTTGGCCTAAATTTATGACAGAAGTTTATTTTATTGGCTATGCTTTATGACAGAAAGTAAAAAATATTTAGTTTTTTTCAAAATTTTCAGTCATTTTTTTATATTGCAAAAAATAAACCCAGTGATCAAATACCACCAAAAAAAACCTCTATTTGTGTGAAAAATAATAAACAAATTCATTTACATACAGTATTGCATGACTGTGCAATTGCCAATTAAAGTAGTGCAGTGCTGATTAGCAAAAAAAAATGCCTTGATCATGAAGAGGGTAAAACCTTCCAGGTTAGTTATTTTGGCAAATTCAGACACATCCTGTTTCAAATATTTTAGACACTCATAGTCTGCCTAAAAGTGATATTTCAGTTATAGGTGGATGCAGATGGCTTAATCGGTCATCTATGTTCATTTCTCAAAAACAATTAAAAAGCAGACATGCTGAAATGAACATGATTGGAGGCTCGGTGGTTGGAAAAAAAATTGGAAAATCGTACTCAGTCTTGCCTGATCATGCTTTCTTCCTATTTTCACTTAACTTAATTTTCTATAAGCATTTTTATTAACACTTGATTGCAGAGTTTGAGCGGAGGTCCCAGAAAGTCAATTTGTTCATGTAGCAAAACTGAAGGCTTTGCAGTTTATTCAACCCATGAACTTCCATTCCCTTTAGGGATCCTGGTGAGTGGGCCTTGGAACGTGCAAAACAAAACGTAAATGAAAACTTTTTACTTGTTGGAATCCTAGAAGAGCTGGAAGATGTTCTACTTTTGTTGGAAAGATTTTTACCGCACTACTTTAAAGACGTCATGAATATTTATAAAAATCCAGGTATATGGTTAAAAGCTATATAACATTCTGATAATTGTATACAAATGGTAGTACTACTTTGTCTCCAATTTCCACCAAATGATTACCGCTAATATAACCAGAATAGCATTATTGTAAAAAAAACAGACTATTACGTATTGCAAAAATAATTACCGTATTTTTCGCCGTATAAGACGCACCTGACCATAAGACGCACCTAGGTTTTAGAGGCAGAAAACAGGAAAAAAAAATTCTGAACTAATGGACTGCAGACACAGTACAGGAGATGACCAGAGACTGCGGACAGCACAGGGATGACCAGAGACTGCGGACAGCACAGGGATGACCAGAGACTGCGGACAACACAGGGATGACCAGAGACTGCGGACAGCACAGGGATGACCAGAGACTGCGGACAGTACAGATGCTGCTGACCTTTGGGGAAGTGGGGAGCGGGTACCTGAATTTGACAGGTACCCACTCTTACTTCCGCAGAGTTTTTGTTTGATCTTACCTGTTCCTCGATCCAGCCGTGCGCTGTCTTCCCGGCTTCTGTAATGGCGCTCGGCATGACAGCCGGGTGCCCAGTGCGCATGAGCGAGAAGCACTTGCACTTTGTGATTGGTCCGGCGGCTTCTGGGATCTGTCATGTGTCCCAGGTACCCCCTTACCATTCACAAAGTGCACCGCTTCTCGTGCATGCGCACTGGGCACCCGGCTGTCATGCCCAGTTCCCCACACTACAGAAGCCGGGAAGACAGCACGCCGCTGGATAGAGGAACAGGTAAGGTCCCGCTGCAGAGCTGAGCGGCCGGCCCGGTATTCTGACATGGCCGCGGTGGAAATACCGGACCGGCCGCTCCATATTCGCCTTATAAGACGCACTGACATTTCCCCCCCAGTTTTGGGGAAGAAAAAGTGCGTCTTATACGGCGAAAAATACAGTAAATTACTTTTCAAATTCTATACAATATATTGAAAATGTATATAATAGTGGCAGTGCTTCTTCTTGAATGAAAATTGGGCTCACATTGTACAGCACTGTTATGTTTGAAGCATTGGGGACTTAGTGAAGAGAAAGGCTCAGTTCACACTGCCACGACTTGAGATCCGACTTGTGAGACCCCAAGTCGCATGACATGTGAAATCCCATGTTAGTCAATGAGAGCCGGCTTAATTAGCACTACTGAAGTTGCTCCGACTTTAGAAAAGTTTCCTGTACTACTTCAAGGCGACTTCTCTCTGACTTATGCCCATATACGTTAATAGAAGTCACCTCTCTAAGTCGGATTCTCATCTATATTGATGTGATTTGGATCCGACATTACAGGAAGATTAACCAGACATTCCCTGAAAGTTGCTTCAGAGTAGTACTCAAGTCGCCTGGCAGAGTCACACTGCAAGTCACGTGACTTTCAGGTAGCAGTAGTGTGAACTGAGACAGAGAGGACAACGGAGACTTTATCAAGTTGATAATGTTTTTATAGTCAAATGAGTAGGTTAGCGGCAGCTCAGGAAGCTGCAGAGTTACACTTCCTGTATAGCCAACCTCTGGTTTTATTGTGTTTTAGGAGTGTCCAAATCACTGAAGTGGTTGCCTCAAATTAACAATATTTTGGCAAATAAAACAAGGTCTATATATACAGTGGGTAAAATAGGTATTGAACATGTTACCATTTTTGTAGGTAAATACATTTCTAAGGGTGCTATTGACGTGACATTTTTATCAAGAATGTCTTGGTACATTTTTCAATTCATCCTTCCTTCAATGACATGAAGTTTGTCAGTACTGTATACTGAAAAACGTCCCCACGCTATGATGTTCCCACCTCCAAACTTCACTGTTGGTATGGTGTTTTTTGGGGTGGTGATGTGCAGTGCCATTTGACCTCCAAGCATGGTGTGTATTATGGTATCCAAAGAGTTCCATTTTGGTCTCATGTGACCAGACTAAAATCTCACAGTATTTCAAAGGCTTGTCTAAATGTTGTGAAGCATACTTTAAATGAGCTTCAACATGATTTTTCTTCAGCAATGGAGTCTTGCATGGTGAGCGTGCATACAGGTTATGGCATTACTTATTGTCTTCTTTGAGACAATTGTACCTGCTAATTCCAGGTCTTTCTGAAGCTCTCCACAAGTGGTACTTGGCTCTTGGATCAAACTTAACGGTTTGGTCATATACACCCTGTTCCAAATTATTATGCAAATTATATTTTGTGGTCAGTGGTCAGTCATAAACTCCACATACTTTGCAGAGGTCATCTTTACCTCTTCGGGGACCCTAAAGGGGCCGACCAGCTCTGTTCCCATGATTCCGGCCCAAAACAAGAGCCCTGACACACAATGCCATCCATGAGTTAAACTGAAAAACAAAATATTTATTCTTTGTGACACTGAAATAGAACTTGCATAATAATTTGGAACAGGGTGTACGCCAGGTGAGAGCACAACCGATCAAGGTGTACAAATTTTTCTTATGATTGGTGAACTGCACGGCTTATAATTTTGTATCGCAGCACTGGAAGAAGTGTCAAAGACAAGGATTTAATAAGGACATGTTTGTAGCAATGCTATAACTGCAGAGATATTGTTATGCACAGTTGTGAAGCTGGAATGTTATTTATTTATTTACACATATTTTCAATTTGTAGTGGAGCCCGACACTATTTCTCCTAATAATTATTTTCACTCCTTTGTCAGAAATCTTGTGAGGAGTACCTGGTCGTGGCCTGTTTATGGAGAAATGTTCTTTCCACTTCTGGATTATGACCCCAACAGTGCTCACTGGAACATTCAGTAGTTTAGGAATTCTTCCATAACCAATACCATCTGTATGTTTCCCAACAATATGGTTGCGAAGGTCTTGAGAGAGCTCTTTGATTTTACCCATCATTAGATGTTTCTTGAGTGATACCTTGGCAATGAGACACCTTTGTATAGGCCATCAGTTGATAGAGAGAAAAACAGGTGGCGCACACACCTAGTGCATTATCCAAGGTTTATTGTAGGAATAAATCATAAAAACATACTCACAGACGAAGCATGTATCTAAAAAGCATAGAAAAATGACAATGGCCACAACGGCAGGCAAGGTGTTCTCACTGTCAGTGCGTCAAATGGCTGACGCGTTTCGGGGACGAATCCCTTTCCTCAGAGCTGATGACCAACCTCTGATGCTGATGCACGATGAATGGAAAGTAAAGTGAGAGCCCTGCTGTTGATGCTGATGTTGGAGGCATCAACAGCAGGCTCTCACTTTACTTTCCATTCATCGTGCATCAGCATCAGAGGTTGGTCATCAGCTCTGAGGAAAGGGATTCGTCCCGAAACGCGTCAGCCATTTGACCGCACTGACAGTGAGAACACCTTGCCTGCCGTTGTGGCCATTGTCATTTTTCTATGCTTTTTAGATACATGCTTCGTCTGTGAGTATGTTTTTATGATTTAATTCCTACAATAAACCTTGGATAATGCACTAGGTGTGTGCGCCACCTGTTTTTTCTCTCTATCCAGTGGCTGATTTCCCCGTCTGAGGAGGGCTGCACCCCTGGAACATTTCCTTTTGGTTGTCGCTGTCCTGGTATCCTTGGCTTCCCTTTTGGCTGTGCATATCTTGAGGCGCTGGAGAGTACATACGCTAGGCCATCAGTTGAGACTGAACCAACTGATATTCATTTGCACTGACAAGTAGCAGGATTGCTTTCTACTTACTGATAGATTGCAGCTGGTGTCTTGGCTTTCAATGCCTTTTTGCACCTCCCTTTCTTCATGTGTTCAATACTTTTTCCCTATGTTATTCTGTTTTCTTACACATAATTTCTGAACTTATATGTTTTGGTTTCTTTGTATGTATGGATTGCATGGGTTGTTACTGACGTGGTGAAAATGTCATGTCAGTAGCACCTTTAGAAATATATTTACTGAGAAAAATGGTGACGTGTTCAATACTTATTTTACCTGCTGTACATTTTAGGTGGGTTTTCCTCTTTTGGCAAAGGTTCCTCAATCACTTGAAGACCACAATAGGTATATTTATGTTGTGGCTTTCAAGTGCTACAGGTATCATCCCAGTGTTGTTTTTTTCATTAGGCGATCAGCTTTTATGCAAAAGCCATTCTAGTGGCTAATTAGCTGGTGGATTGCTTTTACAGGTGGTGGGAGGGGTAGTGCCACTCTGGGCTCTACCACCCCACCCGTGCTATATGAAACCGGCAGCAATGAGTATTTTGTCACTTCCTGTTTTGGCCAGTTGTTTACTGGTCATTACGTCAAAGGAAAGCTTTGGATCGAACCAATCCAAGTTTGATCTGAAGCTTTAAAGGATTGAGGAGAGATCTGGAGTTTAACAGACCCCAGATGTCTCAGAAAAGAGGACCTGTCGCTGCCTATTGCTGTCACAAGGGACGTTTACATTCTTTACATTCTTCGTGATAACAATATAAGTGATCAAAACAATTTTACAGTACAATGTAAATATAAAAAAAGTACTAAAATAAGTAATAAAAAAATATTTTAAAGCTTCCCTGCCTCACCTCCAGGGGTTGTGTGCAAAGGCGAACTCATACGTAGGTCGCACACTCATATGTAAATGGTGTTCTCACCACATATGTGAGGAACTATTGCAAATGTTATAGTGAGAGCAATAATTCTAGCACCAGGCCACCTGTGTAACACTAAACTGGCAACACCCACCATTTTATTCTCTAGGGCTTCTGCTTAAAAATATGGATTTTAAGTAATTTTCTAGCAAATAATACTGATTTTTAAATATAAACAAAAAATTGTCAGAATTGACCTGGTCTTAAAGTGGTTAAGTGTACACTTGCTGCGAATGTTAAAAGGGAAATTAATAGATAAGTTACTCTGCTACATTTAATATCATAGATGAAAGGTATCTTATTTTTCTGCATTTGAAATTACATATGGGTATGCATCGGCTGTTACAGACTCCCCACACAGCTGAATTTGACAGGGATGCAGGGACAGATGCAGATATATATATATATATATATATATATATATATATATATATATACACACACACAGAGAAAATTTTAACAAATTATGTCCAAAACCACTAAACCTTTCCTTTAAGTTGTAGATTGTAGTCACAAGGCCGTTAGTTTACTTGGTTCAAGTTTGCTTACTTGGTGCTAAAATTATTATTATTATTATTATACAGGATTTATATAGTGCCAACGTTTTGCGCAGCGCTTTACAATATAACGGGAGACAGTACAATTACAATACTTTCAGTACAGAAGGAATAGGAGGGAGACTCTGGAGAAGTCCTGGAGGCGAGCGTGGGAGGAGGTTATCATGGGAGAAGCGGAGTGGGCAATTTGGGCGGTATCTGTGGATGAGGTTGGTGATGAAGCTAGGGGCAGTGTTGTGGATGGTTTTGTAAGCTGTGGTTAGTATTCTGAATTTTATACGTTGGGTTAGTGGAAGCCAGTGGAGGGATTGGCAGAGAGGGGCAGCAGTCACTGATCGGTTGGTAAGGTGTATGAGTCTAGCAGCAGCATTCATAATAGACTGAACGGGGGATAGCCTGTGTAACGTAGACCAGTGAGGAGGGAGTTGCAGTAATCGATATAACCAAGGTGTGGATAATAGACTGAAGGGGGGATAGCCTGTGTAACGGTAGACCAGTGAGGAGGGAGTTGCAGTAATCAATATAACCAAGGTGTGGATGAGTTGTGGTGTCATTGGTCAGGAAGGGGCGGATTTTGGAAATGTTCCGGAGGTTGAGGCAGCAGGATTTAGCCAGTGATCCTGTTGATCTTAATGGTTAAGTCATGAGTGGGGGATCGGGGAGGAGGAAATATTACAAGCTCAGTTTTTAAAAGATTGAGTTTAAGGTAGTGATGTGACATCCATGCTGATATGTCGCTTAGTAGATTTGTGAGATCAGACCAAGTAAATCAAATACAGACCAAATGGAAAAGAGAAAATGACACAAAATGAGTTATTGTACTTTGTTTAGCCATCTGTGTACTGAAATCAACTTACAGTAATGCTAAGAGTCAATTAGTGTTTTTACAATGTGGTCCATATTTTTGGTGCTTAATAAGTTTTTTTTAAGAAGATAATGTACTTTTATTAATTGAATGCCATTGTTTAACTTGTTGGGCTGTAATACAATATGTATGTAATTGTACAAATTTGGTATTCTGGTTAAATTCCTTTGTTTCGCAACTTTTTTTACTGCAGAACACAGAAAACTTGGAAATCTGACAGTCACAGTAAAAAAAAACATTCCCTTCTCCTAATGCCCTACAAGTACTCTACCAGCGGATGAAATATGAATATGAATTTTACTACTATGTCAAAGAACAATTTCATTTGCTCAAACGCAAGTTTGGACTTAAATCTCAAGTGAAGAAACTGCCTAGTCAAGAAATGTTAGTCCCATTTCCTATCCCTATGGAAACAATGGAGTCAATAATAGAAGAGGAAGATAATCAAGATGATGAGAAGTGGTTGGAGGACATTTATAAGAGGTGATGTCATGGCATCACGAGTCATGACTATAAGTCCAGATCCATTTCTTAAGCTTTTTTATTGTTAAAAAATCCTTAAGGAACATGGTTAATGCTGAACTGCATTAACACTTTCCCACATGTTGGGTATTAGGGAAATACATGTACCCGATTCTGCGGGTTGTGTTTACTTTTATTTTTTTATGTTCAGTGGATTGATGGAAGAGTAATGAAATAAGACTTATGGCATGTTGACTTGAGTTTTAGCCAGTATATGCATTTTGCAGGAAGCCTACAGCACAGTCGAATGAAAGTTCTCACAGCAATCAGATCATTTACTGTTCTATGTCATGAGAGCGTCCAGGTACATATTTTTTTTTTTTTGGCATCCTTATTGGCAAACATTTTCAGAACTTCTCAAGATAGAAATATGTCTTGTTAAATCCTAAGAGAGATGACTTTGGACAATTCTAGCAATTCATTTTATATTCATTTAACATTCCAGTGAAAAATACATGTGCCATGGCTTATGTCATTATGGGTTTAGGAGTGAGATATCGAATTTAAATGATATAAAAACTTTTTTAAAAATAGTTTGTTTTGTGCTGGATGGTGAATGGTCTTGATAACATTTGAATACATTTTTAAAAATCATTTTTATTAAAAGTTGGTGAGAATGATCCTGCTATAATTAAATTTGAAATGCTCTTGGTACTTATAGTGAAAACCAATTTAAATTGTATACAAACTCAAAACGTTTGTTTTTGGTAGATTGTATAATGATTTGAACATCCGTCACATTTTGTATTGCTGCATGTGTCCCTGCTAGGAAGATTCACCTTATTTATTGGTCCTGATGACAAAGTGGTGAAAACATTTTTTGAGTTGTCACAGGAATAGGTGAGAAGAAATCTTTCAATGGATGATCTTGTCCTGTTGCCTACTGTCTATGAGAAGATATCCCTTGCTTTTCAGATGACTCCTCTTCCTGTTGTGTCTTTGGGACAGAAAGTAAAGGGAAATTTCTCTGAAGGGAAACAAGCAACAAAATAGAGTTGAAAGAGGTCATAACCAATCCCTACTCCAGGGCTAGTTTTGCTTTAAATCTAGGAGCCAGCTAAAAAAGTTAGGAGCCAGTTTTTTTGTTTAGCGTACTGTGGGTTGCCAGTGCCCAGAGCAAGGCAACTTTTGGGCAACAATCTTCATGCAATGCTTTTTGCAGCAAGAAAATCATGGCAAAACTGCACCATGTTTTAGGCACCATTGAAAATACCGGTACTTGAACATGCGTTTTGCGTTTTCCGGTATTTTTCAATGGTGCCTAAAACATGGTGCAGTTTTGCCATGATTTTCTTGCATGATCACAGTGAATCTGCTGTGATCCCAAAACGCCCATGTGTGAATGGAGCCACCTTGGTTCACACATATGCCATTCTAGATGCGTTCCCAAACTCACAGATTCACATAGTAGAATGGCATGCGGAGATAAGTGTTCACATATTGCTATTGACAGGAGTTTTTGCATTGAAGTCAATGGGAACTGTTTATGCATTGAAGTCAATGGGACTTGATTTTGCATCAATAAGGGCAATTTTGCATTGAAGTCAATGGGACACGATTTTGCATTGAAGGAAATGAAATGCAATTTTGTATTGAAGTCAATGGGACGCGATTTAGCATTGAAGTCAGTGGGATGCGATTTAGTATTAAAGTCAGTGGGATGCGATTTTGCATTGAAGTCAGTGGGAGGCAGTGTGTGAATCCAGGTGCCAAGATGAAATTTCTAGTCACCAGGGTGGCCTGGCACCTGGGATTTGTCGACCCCTGCCCTACTCTATCCAGAACTTAAAAGAAAAGTTTAGACTTTGGGAGCCACACAAAACCAAAGCAAAGTACTCTGATGGTTATTGTAGGTTGCTGTATTGAACCAAGCTACTGTGACACCAACAATACTACAGCCATTAATTGTGAATGCATTCATACATGTTTTTGTTGTACTGAACAGTTCATAAATTTATCTGGACCAATATTGGTATTTCAGATAAATACTGCTAGCAGCCAGAACAATTGTATTTTCTGTGCATACCCCAAGGAACATATACCTGAGTGGAATGATGTTCTTGTCCTGCAGAATTATGAGGGAGATACATAACCTTATGAAAGCAAGAGGGTATAGGTTATGGTTATAGGTTATAGTTTTCAATACACCATTCATTTCATTACACTGCTAAATAGAAAAATCATCTTTGAAGTGTGAATAAACCTTTTTCCACACTGAAAATTGTGTTTCTTTTGATGACAACTATTGCACATGAAACACATAAAAATGAGCCTCAAGGGATTCCACATTTCTACAGGACATATGTCATCACTAGTATGCAAGGATATCTCTAAATACTCATATCATCCATATCCATCTTGTATGCATCCTATTTATAAAGAAGCATGGAACACTCTTTATGGAAAATGATTGTGCAGTGTTTAAATTAAGAGCTCAGCCAGCATGATGAATAACAATAAACTACTCATCACATTTGTGTAATGAATTGCATTGGAACATTTTGTAGCTCACAGCTTGGTACTGGTGTCAGCTGAGAACTGTGAGAATTTAGCAATGTGATTCCAGGCACAGTGATCAATGCACTTATCCTATCTTCCTGCCCCTCCAGCACTCACAGTATATTGTTATAATTTACCTATAATTCCATTGTCCTGTGATAGTCACTGTGTAAGGTGCCTACAGACCCTAATTCCATTAGGGTTAAGGGGTGCTTTTTAGTAGAGAATAGTTTGGCATGCTACACGAAACCTACCAGCGTCAACCTACAAGGGCCTAGATCTAACAGAGTTCTGATGCAGGCATGCAAAAATGTGGTTCATAGGACCCATAAAGTAAATGAAAATGACCTATGCTTTCTTTTACTGTGCCTAAATTGATATAGGAAATTAGAAGTAAGGTATCAAGTGACTTTATGCTTTTTAGAATTTATGAAATAATCTTTGTTAAATCCCTTAGCAACAGTTTGGCTGTTTATGTCAGAAAGTAATGTGCCTAATCCACTTGTTAGGATCCCACCAATACCTCACATTTTTCATAATTTTATTGTACCTCCACTAGTACTCTTAATGGCAGGGAAGCAAAAGAATGGAAATCTGAAATAAGGAACAACCACTACAGTTGCCATTACATGGGATTTCTTCTTGAGCACCATAGGTTGTGAGGGATCATTTTCTCACTGCTGCCATTGCTTAGGCAGGGTATACACGGACCAAAAAGTGGCCATTTCAGCAGGAACCAATTGAACTTTGATCCATGTGAACTACTGTCTGCTCAACAGAACCCGGTCTAACCACTGGCGTCTGTTGAATGGTCATGCTGGAAACCAACATTTGATCAGCACTGCAGCTATTGGATCTCTTGCTGTCAAAATACAACAGAACAATGGGGGAAATCCCTGCATCAAGGTTGTTTGTGTTGATGCAGGAATCTGTTAAGGTTTTTTTTTTTTCATTATACCCACTGGTTGAAGGAAAAAAAAGAGTGTGCTTAACCACTTGCCTACCAGGCACTTATACCCCCTTCCTTACCAAGCCAATTTTCAGCTTTCAGCGCTGCCGCACTTTGATTGACAATTGCGCGGTCATGCAACATTGTACCCATATGAAATTTTGATCATTTTTTTCTCACAAATAGAGCTTTCTTTTGGTGGTATTTAATCGCCACTGGGCGCTTTACTTTTTGCGCTATAAATTAAAAAAGTGCAAAAAATTTGAAAAAAAAAAAAAAAGTTTATTTGTTTCTTTTATAAAATTTTTCAAACAGGTATTTTTTCTCCTTCACTGATTTGCGTTGATGAGGCGGCACTGATGGGCACTGATAGGCGGCACTGATGGGCACTGATAGGCAGCACTAAAGGGCACTGATAGGCAGTACTAATGAGGTGGCACGGATAGGCGGCACTGATAGACAGCACTAATTAGGGGTCACGGATAGGCGGCACTGATATGCAGCACTGATAGGCGGCACTGATAGGTGACACTGATGATGGGTACTGATAGACGGCACTGACTGGCATCACTTCTGGGCACTGACTGGCGGCACTGACTGGCACAACCCCTGGGCACTGACTGGTGGCACTGACTGGCAGCACTGCTGGGCTGCACTGGTGGGTGGCACTGGTGGGCAGCACTGGTGGGTGGGCACAGGTGGGTGGCACTGGTGGGCACAGGTGGGTGGCACTGGTGGGCACAGGTGGGTGGGCACAGGTGGGTGGCACTGCTGGGCACATGTAGGTGGCACTTCTGGGCACAGGTAGGTGGCACTGCAGAGTGGCACAGGTGGGTGCACTGCTGGGCACAGGTGGGGGCACTGCTGGGCACAGGTGGGGGCACTGCTGGGAACGGGTGGGCGGGGCTAGTGGGCGCACTGCTGGGCGGAACTTGCGGGTGTCACTGCTGGGCACCGATCATCAGGGCACTGATCATCTGGGCACCGATCATCATCAGTGCCCTGATGATCGGTGCCGATCCCCGCTCTGACAACTGCCGGTTCTCGGCAGTACTTTCCTCACAATCTGACAGCGTGAGGAAAGTGCAGCCGAGAACCGGCACTTGCCTTTCCCTGTGATCAGCGTGTCATTGGACACCGCTGATCACGTGGTAAAAGGCCGGTGGGATCGGCCTTTCACCACATCACGTGATCAGCTGTGTCCGTAGGACACAGCGATCACGAAGATCGCCGGGTGCGCGCCCCCTGGGGCGCGCAGGAGAGCGCGTTCTGGGAGGACGTCATATGACGTCCACTCAGAACTGGCCGGCCGCGGTGAAGCCGTCATTCGGCTATGCGCGGTCGGCAAGAGGTTAATCCAACATTTGTCATTGTATTCTGCATGAGGTGCACATGCACGAACACTTAAACTATAAAGAGAAACTAAGTTCAAAGGAGGGGGGTAGATTTTGTATTTTTTTATTGTAACATTTACAGCTACTGCAAAACACAACAAACTGATAGAACTACTATTTCTG